CAGCAGAACTGAAGGACTCGATCCTCTGGATGTTATCCTGGCCTCTTTCGTTAATCTTAGAAGGCTCTTTTAGGAAATAATATCTCTTGTGGTGGGGAAATTATTTATTTAAAGAGCAGCAACTCCTTCGATTTTATTTCAGTTCCTTTTTTCTTCTGGTTAAAGTAAAATAAAATTAAAGTTAATACTTTCAATTCAAAATAGTTAAGGGTGGCAGGATTCCATGTTAATAGATCTATCCTTCTCTACGTGTATCTATGCATTTCCTATGCATAGAAACATGTCCCAAATTATGTCCACATAATGCTAATGATGGTCATGCTTCCCAGGTGGTGGGAATTTGGGTGTTTTTTTTCTTAAATAGAACACACCATAAAGACTGAGAAAAACAAAGCGCTGGGTGGGCCCCTTGGCAGAGGAGTATTTCCCAAGCGTGTGGGGGCTGGGTTTCAGGAACGCAACGTCATCGAGGTAATAGCTGAGCAGCTGTGTCCAGGGCTGGGCAGCAAGTCTCCAGCTGGGCCGTGGTGTGTGGGTTCCCCCAGAATCACAGGCTCTGAAGGCCTCTGCCACTCAGAGCCAGGGAAGGGAGCCTCTCCCTGGGAAGGGACCCCCTGAGTGGTCCGGGCCCCAGGGGCAACAAGGCAGGATTCCCCTGGGGTCTGCCCACTTGGACCACGACAAAGGGCCTTTGTGAAGTCCTGCCCACCCTTGTTTAGCAAAAGTGCTCAATGTCCTTCAGAGGGAAGGAGCACTTACTCACGATCTGCAGCTTGTCCAAGGATTATCTCATGGTCAGAAGTATTTATAGACAGTTTTTCTCCTTAAGGGATATTAGTGTTAATGAAAAACTACTGTCTCTTTAATTGTACTCCTGGCACACGAATGGAAAATATGATCCCAGAACCTAACTGGGAATAATTTCACACGCTGGGGTACTTTTTGTAGGAATAGCGAAATGCTTTGTAAGTAAAATGAGCTCGATTTGTGGCGAATGTAATTTTAATGATCCTTGGCCTTTGTCTATCGTTGTTACTATTACGTAATAGATCAAAATTTTACATATTCTATTTTAACAAAATATCATACAATAATGACTGAAGACGTTATGTGTATGTCCCCAGACTTACAACCAATCATTAGAACCACCTAGGGGGCTTTGAAAAAATACACGTTTCCCACCCCAGACATCTGGATGGCTAGCAGGCTTCCCAGGTGACTGATTCACGGCCAGGGCCGAGAACCACACTACTGTAGAGCTGGCAGATGTGGAGCTGTCTGAACAGCCATTCCCAAGGCCTGGAGAGTGAATCGCAGGTCACCTGGGGAGTGGCGAGCTCTACAGTTTTCAGTAACTTAGATGGAGACCAAGTCATCAAGCTGATCAAATTTTCAGATAAAAAACTGGAAGAGATAAAAAAAAAAAATACGTTGGATAATAGGATTCAAATGAATCATGGTACAGCAGAAGCAAGCAGTAAGATGAGATTTAAGGGAATATGTGTAAAATTGACAATTGGGGAGTAAATGCAATTACAAGACGGTTGAGAAATGTCTTGATAATATCAGGTCGTATGAAAATGTACTGAGGCTCTTGGTTGATCTCAAGTTCACAATGAGCCAAGAGGCTGTCCAATCGATGTGGTAGACAGAACTGATATGTAAAATCCTCCGACTCCCCCTAAATACATAGAAATGCTGGATGAAGTCCCAGGTGCCGCGAAATGAAGAAAGAACAGAAAGCCAGAGCAGGGTGACTGGCAGATGAGGCCTCAGCCAGCGCCAGTCAGAGCGTATCCCGCAGAATGCTGGGGCCGCTAAGAGCCGTCTCAGTCCATGAAACAGGCTCGTGGAGAAAACTGTTTGCCGGCCCGGGGATATGGCTAGAAAGCTGCCCTTCTGCTCAGCACTGAGAGTCACCACGAGAACCTGGAGCACCGAGCCCGCACCACACACATTCACGTTACCCATGCAGTCTGGGAGGGCCAGGTCTGCCCTTCTGCTCAGCACTGAGAGTCACCACGAGCACCTGGAGCACCGAGCCCGCACCACACACAGCTGTGGGGTCCGCATTCACGTTACCCCATGGGAGGGCCAGGCTGGGGAGTTCACAGAACACTTTGCTCAGAGCCATGGAGCCCGTGGGCCCGGGGCAGAGGCGGGTGGGGACGGGGGGGACACGCAGTCTGCACTGCTGCAGGCTCTGTGGGGTCTGAGGTCACACGACAGGCTCGTGCCTCTGTGGGCTGGGGCGCGGGTGCTGCTGCGGTGGCCCTCTGTCAGCCCTGTGGGTCCCCACGAGGGCCAGGAGAGGGTGGGCACTCACTTGTAGTTGTCGTCTTCCACAAACTTCTGGAGCTCCTCGATGTAGCGCACAGACTTCAGGTACTTCTGCACGTGGGGCAGGGTCGTGAGGTGATCTGTAAAAGGCAGACAAACCCAGAGGCTTCAGTCCCTCTGCATCTCTGGGCCCGGAATGAGAAGTGTAGGAATCACCGATTTTGGCGCTAGATGCTGCCTGGGTATTGGGACATATATTCAGGATTTCAACAGTTGCTAACAGTCCCTTGGGCCAGGCCCTGTGCTGGGCACTGGACACAGAGGGGTCATCAGGCCTGAGTTCTGCCCTTGAGGAGTGCTCCACGAGAGGGCCGGGCCACAGACACGACACCCTGAGGCCACCATAGTTCTTTGGCCGGGGAAAGATGGATCTTTGGGGGAAAGTTGGTCTCCAGAACAGACCAGAGCCAGGTGTCTGCTCCCTAAAACAGGTTTCCACTGGGGTAACTGGGTAAGCACCCCCACACCTGCCTACTGAGTGACAAGAATGCAAGAAGGGATGAGCAGCTCCCACCCAGCCTGGCACGGGGGCCCAGCCAGACCCCGGCACAGCCGGGCAGTCTGGCCCGTGGGCTGGAGCTGCTGCGTCCTGGGAGGGCAGGGAAGCGCCTAGGGGCTGGAGCGTCTTCTGTGCCGGGCTTTATGCCCAGGCATCTCTGGGAGCCGTCTGCTTTGACCTTCATACCTGTCCCCTTTGGGGGGCATAACACACCCATGTCACAGAGGAAGAAGCCATGGCAACTTGTGAAGCCCACGTCCCTGAGGAGTGACAGAGTCGGGTTTGGACTCCAGGTCACCCGCGGCCTCTGCCACCCTGTACTCTCTCTCTGTCCTGGAGTGACTGACGTCAGCTGCAATCCGCAGACCTGCGTGGTCACTGCACTCCTGAGGGTGCCAGGGACTCTGCCTTTCCCCGCGGGTGCGACAGACCAAGCTAAGGGGAGAGGCGCAGGCAGTGGAGGCGGCTGTGAAGAGCCGGGAAAGGCTCTCGGGCGCCGGGGAGGGGGTCCAGGGGCCATGAGGGCACCGGCTCCACCCCTTAGCCGCGAGATTCGAGATTCGAGGTTCGAGGTTCAGAACAGGTTGCTCCGCTTCTCTAGAGCCTTCGCGTTCTCGTCTCTGAAATGGGGGAAATGACACCTGCTTCCCGAAGCTGAGGACGGGGAAGATGCAGGTGAAGGTGACGGCAGCGAGAGCACTTCCTGAGCTCGAAGGAGATGCCGGGGCGTGGGAAGGGCTCCGCACGCATCACGTTCACTGACCAGAAAACCTCAGGCTTAGAGGAGACAGTGACTGTGCAAGAGGCAAAGACGAGATTTGAACCTGAGTCTGTCTGGCCCCGAAGCTGTGTCTGTAATCACTCTGCTGGCCAGCGGGATGACAGGTGTCGACGTACTCGTCAGAGGAAAGGGCCCCGGCAGGCGAGGACGGCACTGGGAACACAGTCCCCTCCCTCCTCCTCTGGCCGGGAGGAGAGCTGATCTGGAAGTTCCGACCTCACCCCACCTGAATGCTGGTGGGGTGGCTTGTGAGCAGGTCCCCTCCCTCCTCCTCTGGCCGGGAGGAGAGCTGACCTGGATGCTGGTGGGGTGGCTTGTGAGCAGACCTTTTGCTTCAGTGAAGCCACCTTGCAGGAAGCCCACCTTGGCTTCCCAAGTGGAGGCTGCTGCTGCTGCTTTGCTCACACCCCGCGTCCTGCAGATGGGGCGGTTCCTTTCTTGGCCCCCTTTGCCACACTTCCAGACTTTCATGCCTCCACCTTTTGTGAGAACCCTGCTCCGCGGAGGCTCATGCCCACAACTCTGCTACCCATTCTCCCCTTCGCCGCTGACATCTCCCAGCTGGCCCCGGTCACTCACGCCCATTCTGGAGGACCTGGGTGCCTGGCCCACAGCTGAGCTCCACACCCCCAAGTTCACCGCCATGTTCAGTGAAGTTAATGCCCACATGGACGGCCGGTCCAGCATTCTGCCTTCTCAGTGCCCTGACCTCATCCCCAACAGCTGTCTCCTCCGACCATCTCAGACACCCGCCATCACGGTCACGCTTTGGATCGGGTCACGTGTGGCAGGGCCTGCCTAGTTTCCTACCATGTCATGTCCTTTTTCCTTCAGGCCCACAGCGAGATCACGTTTCCGAGCCTTGCTTGGCAGACGTGATGAGTGCCACATGCAAGTCTGGCCCATAAAACCTTTTTTTTTTCTCTGCGTCTGCCAGCTGGATGTAGAGTTCAGGGGTGGACTCTGAGCTCAGGCAGAGCCACAACACAGAGGAGCCTGGGTGCCGGAATCTACTTGGAGGAGCGCTGCCAGGACCTGCCCACAAAGCACTTCGCGAATGAATTCATGAATGAATGGCTTGGGAGCCAGGCACACCTGGGCTCCGCCACTCCCCGGACGTGTGATCTTACACAAGCGACTAATCTGTGTTCAGCCACAGTTTCCAATCAGTAACACGATGGTGGTTAACATCTAGTTTGCACAGTCTCTGAAGATCAAATGCGTGCCGAGGGTCTAGCACATCCGATACTTGAGATAGTAAAATGCAGAGTGATGTGGGGACGACCTGGTTTCTAGAGCTTTCTCACTGATAATGTGCTGGACCCAAATTTCAGTGATGGGAGATTTCGCACCTCTGACAATCAGGGGTACTAACCGTAGCTGCAGGAAACTTGTAAATCAGCAATTATTCGGAGAATATTGTTCATCTGATTGGATCTTTGTTCGTTTTCCATGATGCTGCCTGAGGCAGGATATGCAGAATCGATGTAGATCAAATCCAGAAGATAGATCCCTAAAAGTAAAGAGGATATTTAACCAGGGCAGGCACTCACCGTCAATCACACGAAACGAGACAGAACGGAACTGCTCTGCTACGAGGTATTAAGGGCAACTTATCTGGAAAACCGAGACACTATTGGGACTTCAATTCCAATCCTGACTACTAATTTTTCACAGAGATCACTCCACTATAAATCGAACATCTGAGCGATAACCGAAACTGAACACCGGCAAGACTTTAGCGTTTCTGGTTCATATACTCTTCAGCGACAAGGGTTTTTTCCTGTAACCCAACTGGAAAATAACAGGACCAAAAAAAGGATGAATGAATACTTGTTTTTCACCAACCGATGAAGTTTAATAGGTTTAAGCTGTCGTATCCAGCAGAACACCACTTGGATTGAATTCAGTTTTTTGTTTATTCACTTAGCTGTGTGTCTATTTGTCTATCTCTCTGTATACACACACATGCACACACAAATCATAAATTAACTTAGGGACAAAAGGAGAAATCAAAAAAGCAACAGTCTCTCATACAAAAACTAAAACTAGACAGAGAATTCTCCTGAGAGTGCTTAATAAGAAAACAACATGCGATATAAAAACATTGCTATGACAGGCCAGTGTTGAGCCTCGGCATGGTCTCATGGCATCCCCCTGGGGGAATTCAGGGCAAGCCACCTGGCCAGGGATGTGCCATGTGTACTCTACGAGGACCAGCCATGTCACATATGCACTGCGTAGCTCTCAGCTGACTGGCTTGCTGTAGGGCTACACTGCAGACTCCCCAGGGATGTGCCTGGACAATGGGTGGCACTTCCTTCCAGCAGCCCTCCGTGAGTACTGCCACTGTACCCGTACTACTGGTGAGATT